GTGGTGCTGCTCGTCACGAGGAGGGTGCTGCAGTGACCCACTGGGCACTCAGCCCTGCAACATCCGACCTTGCTTCCCAGCCACCGAGGAACATGAGCACCTCGCTGCACCCGAGCTTTTGGCAGCAATAAAGTCACCCCCTCTCTCTCGGGTACTCGAGAGCCTGAAGTTCTGGTGCAGCTGGAAGACTGTTTCCAAAGATCATGCTGCATCCCATCTTTGGACAGCAGTGCTTCCATGCAAATGCTCTTTAGGCTTTCCAGCAGACTCTGGAACATGTTATTTAACGGCAACACTCCCTCCAAAACAGGAGTGAGAAGCACAAAATGCACCTGAGATGCTGCTGTCCCAAATAAAGCATGCAGCTTGGTCTAAACTCCTTACTGATAAAAGCAATATTGCAAAAATACTTAAGATGAATTTCCATGCAGCAGCCGTGAGGTCTCAACTACAAGCATGTGACAGAGGGCTGCAGAAACAGCTCGTACTTCGGTCCTCAAGGAAAGGAGGACTGAGGGGTTGTAAGTCCTTTATTTTCGGGACATCAGTCAGTAATCAGCCTTAAAAAAAGAGATTCTGATGACTAACTCCTGATTAGTAGGAAACCCTGATTGAAGTAGGCAAACCCTTAGAGTTTTTGATCAACAATAAACAAACAAAGCAACCCTGAGAACTTTATAAAAGATTTTTTTCTAGCAGAAAATTTAACCAAATCTTAACACTAAAAAAAAACCTAGAGAATCAGGCAAAAATACTAGGCAGGGAAATTGCATTATATGAAAATCTATGGGCACCCAAGCTCAAAGAAGCAATATCCAGTATTTCAAAGATGCAAGCACCAGTTAGCAAGGTCAAAAATACTCTTTGAAACCCAGAGAGATGCTTTCCTTTTCCAAGCTGGAAGCCCTCTTCCTATCCTAACACCAAATCATGGGTGTCCCCTCATCGCCCACATCAGTACTCTGAAGCACATCACGATTTTCACTTTGATGTTTCCAACAGCAAAGGTCCATTTAGCAATTAGAGATGGCACAGGGCAGTGCTACTTTTAAGTTTTAAACATATTGCCAAATTCACACAAACCCAGAGCTCTGAAGTCAGCCCTTTAATTTACCCTTCACTACTCTTTAGGGCAGTATGTCAGCACAGCTGGGCAAGCCACTGAAGACCAATACTCAGCAAAAGGCAGCACCAGAAGAGACCGGCACATTCACTGCCTCCTGACTATCTGGTATTAAATAATTTCTACCCCTCAAGGTAACACTCGGGGCTGTACACTGCAGAATGGCAAAGGCAGTCATGACAGCATCACGTTATGCAGAGTTTAAAGACAGCTTCTCAGGTGAAGCAGCCCACCAGATGCAATCTCCTGTGCTTGACTTCTCCCTCTGCCACAGCCTGACTGAGATAAACCAGCTCGGGGGCAGCGGAGAAGGGAACCAGCTGAATCACGGGTGAGACACCAGGTGGAAGAGCCAGTAATTCTGCCCATTTTACACCTTGCTGATTTTCTTTTGTTTGCTCAAACTTTGGGCACTCGCAGACCACGACCAGGGCCCCTCTGTTTCCAGGGAGAGCCGCGTGTTGCTGCGACTCCACCGACTGCTCCGCTTTCCCACGGAAAAAGTGCTGCACCCTCGAGGGGGTGCTGACGAGGAGCAACCCTGCTCCCCAGCCTGCTCCATGGCACCCAAAGGGGCTCCTCAGCCTTCGGCACATCTGCCCTCATTTTAGCATTTTCAGTTTTAGGGTCACTGTAAACCTGACTATGGCTAAGGCTGAACTGAAGAACTGTTAATAAGAGGATAATGGAACAAACCAATATGAAGGCAGATGCTTGCTTTGAGATTAGCTCCAAGAGCTTTTTGGAAAGCCTACAACAGCCTGAACAAAGTTAATTTGTGAGGAAATGTCACTACTGCAAAGCTGATATGCCTCACCGATACGACAGAAGTGATTCTTGCCACCATAGTTTCAAAAGCCTTGATTTAAACTGATCAAATCAGACACCTGCCTATGCAAAGCAGTATGACTTATATCTGCATCAAGAGAAAAAGATGAGCTTTGAAGTGAAAGAATATTAATCTGGTACTGTGATGTATGAGTTCTTATGCCTAAGCACTTGCATATTGTAAAACCTTCACTTCACTTGAGCGAGAGTGCTAAAATGCGCTCAAATTGAAACAGCAGGAAAGAGGTTTCTGTGAATCGGATATGTTTTTTTTTTCTCTTTTTCTTTCCTCCCCAAGAAACTGTTTTCATGTCCCTCCAAGTGTTCTGGAGCGCAACCAGTCTCAACTATGCAGGGGGAAGAAAAGGAAGGGTGTCACTGTAAAGCAAATAATTTTCCAAAAATCTTTCCCACAGTGTGAGTTTTCCACCTGGGAGGTCAAACATCAGGGTCAACATTTTCTGCTCTAGCTCTTTCTACTAAGTTTCTAAATAAATAATTGGCTTTCAGAGTGTTTGGACAACCCGATTCCCAGCTAGAGCTGTAGAGAGCTGCAGGTGCTTGCTTTGAAAGTTAGGCTAGAGTTTTGTTTTAGGCTAAAAAAAAAAAAAAAAAATCACATATACACCTATCATTTTCACAGCTACACTTTTAAGTCTTCCAGACTTTCCATTTAATAGACATTTTACAAATGCAATTTCTTGAAATTTGGGACCTTTTCATTTGTGGTGACAAAAAGTCTTTTTAATCCACTTACACCTTTACTAGACTCACTCTTTAAACAGGTAATTTTTGTTTTCCTAATACAAGAGGGGCTTTCCAGGAGGAGTGGAAGGGGTTGATAAGATCACATTCCTCCCACAGCAGAAACACACATCTTACATATCAGCTTAAGCAAGCCATAGAAAACAAGACACAAACCACTGCAGACTGCTCCATGAACACAGTGAATCCATGAAAGAGACACTACTTTGAACAAGCCTATCAATTCAGGCCAAATTTGAGTCTAAAAAAAAATCATCTGAATCAACTTTGATCCTTCGGGGTGGAAAGGAGCTGGAGTACAAAAAGTATAACAGCAGTATGAGGGCTTTACAGCACATTCTCATGCATAACTTCTTCCCAGGGGATTACTGGGGAAACCATCATCTCCCCAGGGGGTACTGCTTCATGAGCTGATGATCAGCTCAATGCAGGCCCTTGTGTTTATTTCAGAAGAAAAACTAGAGAACCTGACACTGTTTCCAAGGTGCAGGGTTGGCTTTGGATCAGGAATACAACGCCAGGTAAGCCTTCCACCAAGGTCAGGGCACTTCTCAGAACTGCCCAGCCAGGATAGTGCTCAAGCCAGGTTGCTTCCAGGAAGCTCTCCAGCTCTCCAGTTGGGAGTGACCATCCCAGGAGAGGGCTCAGGGCTGCAGCAACAACCTGTCACAACAGGGTGTGAATGGCAAGACATATGGGACAGATGCAGATGTGTTCGAGACCTGTCCCATGGGAGCACCACCCTAAGACAGGTGCCCTAATTCAGGCTTGCCCACAAAAGTGAAGGCCCCTGCACCAGTGTGCAACCAGAAAGCTATTTACTTTGCTTTTGGCTGTTTGCTTTCTGATGGTTTCATTCCTGAACCAACTCACTGCAGGATCAAGCAGGCACCTGCGTTGGCAGAAGGAAGAAAAGAGAAGCAGAGTTTAGAGCCACAGCAGCCCCAATTTAGATCGCCAATTTAGATGGCCAAGACTCCAGCCTCATGTAACACCCATGCAATTACTCTGCAGAGTGTCAAATTAAACCTCTGTAAAGTGCGTCATTTAGCATTAACAAGCCAACTAGTCCAAATTAAACATTAGCATGGAATGTCTATTAACTGCTCTTCCCCACTCACCAAAAGCTACGGGTTCGCTGAAGAGTAAAAGGCAGTAAAACCTATTAAAACAGACTTGTTTAACACAGAAATGTTACAATAAGGCATGCAAAAAATATATTCCCCAAAATTAGGCTCATCAACAACATTAACATAATCTGCTCATGTTAAATGTCTGATTACGATTTGTCTTGCAAGAACTCATGAAAGTTTACCAACTTAAGCACACAATATACTTTCACAGCCTCAAAAACACACCAAACCATGTAAAAAGTGTATTACTTGCCACTCTCAAGTAATAGAGCATAGTTTTACAAGACTAATTTAGTTAAAAATTTACTTGATTTCCAATCCAAGAGTTGTGATAGGCCTCAGGCCCATCTTACCCAGCTAAGAAATTGATCTCTATACAACTTGTTACAGAGAATTTAATGCAGTGACATTTATGAGTTTCTGCAGTAGGAGCTTGTATAAACACAAGCTATCCAAGTATTTCACCATAAATACCATTCAGAGGAAGTTTTAACCCCTTGCGCCAAGAGATGTAAAGTGCCTGGCTTTAATTGCTTGTCAATTTTTATTAATAAAGCATTTTATGTATGTCCATAAGCAGACTCCCTCACCGAACATTGCACTTGAGACATTCACTGTACAACAAGACGTGATCTCTTTACTAACAGCAAAACCATTGGTGTCAGCACTCCATACCCAAAATCAAGAATAAGACAGCACCTGAGCCCCCAAGTACTCCATGGACTTAGGCTTGCTGCACAGGCTGAATAGCACTTGGAATCCAAGGAGGAGACGCAGAGGGAACCACAGCTCTGCCCTGAAGCAGCTCAGATCCAGCACTCTTAATCTGGACACTATACCACAGAAATCAGGCTCTCGAAGTCTTGAGCCGCTCCTGGAAGCCACACAGCCACATTCACAGAGCCTGCGCCAAGAGGATCAGGTCCTGCCAGAACCGAGCTGGCTCCACACAAAGCCGCTCGGACACGTTTGCACACACCGCATGGCTTGCTTGTAAACCAGGACAAAGCCACCCACAGGTAACTAAGGGCTGACTAACTTGGACTGAGCAGAACTGGCACACGTTAACTCACTCATGACTAACAGACACCACACTCAGTTCCCCAGTAATTGTAGCAAACGCACCAAACAGTTCATTAGCAAGCACTCACCTTGGATTTGACCTGCAGACAAGTGACTTGTTTTCCTGGCATTTGCTGCCAGCACATCCCCACTAAACTGCTCAGTCAATAAGCGTCCAGCTGCTGTGTCTGTGTTGGCAGGACACCTGCCTCGTTTCTTGTGTTTCTTCTTCCACATGTCCTCCTCGTCCCTCTCTTCAGAGCCAGACGACTTCTGCAGGGCAGCACCGTGTCTCAGGCTGTTCGATGCTCTCCCACCCAGGCCATCACTCATGTTTAACAAGTCAGCTTCAGCTCCGTGCTTGTTTAGGCAGTAGTCTTCCTCCACCTCCAGGTCACCTTCTGGATTAACACTGGCATCTTTTTTATAGTGACACCTTCTCCGAGCAGGTTGGGCTTTATCTTCATTCAGTTTCTCAAATCCTCCAGGCAGGGGGTGCTCCAGGTGAGACGTTCTCACCGGTGAATAGCTGTGCACGTCCAAGCCGTTCCTTGCTACATCATCTTTCCCCAGGCCTCTCTTCAGAGAGGGATCCAGATCGGAGCCGGAGTCACTGGGAGCACTTTCTTCCAGTTGCATCTTCTGTGCGATGTGATTCAGGTAGGAGCGGAAGCGGCCGCTGTGGTGCCTTTGCACCAGCCTGGCGTACGCGTTCTTCTGGGGAGCGCCGGCCTTGCTTAACCCCTCTCTGGTACCTTGGGCAGAAGCACTTCTTACATACCCCGGCTGATCCATAGTGCAGTAAAAGGCCCAGACTTCAGAGATTTGTAAATAGACACAGGGGAAAAAAGGGTTATTTTCTCAAAAATAAAGGGCCAAAGAATTGATCATGCTAATAGACATGAAAGTTCACTCAGTAAGAATGCATTGATCTTTACAGAAATGGTAGAACGAGAACCTACACTGGGGATAACAGTATTAAAGCATAAGGAAGTTATCAACTGCCCAGCATTAAATCATTGTCAGTGGCCTAGGATTGAGTCTGTAAGCCGGCCCTGTCCATAAGCCACACAAAACAGGGATTCTGTCCAGATCCTTATATCCCAAATATAAGTGATTCCTATAATCCTCTCTTCCTTGAAAAAGCCCAGCAAATAAAGGCAGTAACTGACAGGCAGTATTAGACGCATGAGCTTAAGAGGTTACCAAGAGGAAAATCTCATCATGTTCGACCTGGAGGCTTCAAAAATTGCATCCTTACTGAAGTGCTTAAATGTTGCAGTAAAAAGACTACACATTGCCTCTTACCTCACTTCACATAATGTGTTTCTACAGTAATTGACTCCACCAAATAAAACAGGGCACTTGTTTCACATATCAAGCCTAACCATTTTAGCTGGTCTTTCTGGCCATAAACCCACTCTCAGGGTAACTGACTTAACTGGAATTCCCCAGCACAACATTGCGAGCGCTCCTCATCCTTCATGATTAAGGCACACTGACTACCACTCCACGCAGCACGTTTCTGTAGACATCATCACACTCGCACCTTTTTTGCACGAGGGAGGATCAAGCATCTTTTGCTTCTGTCTCAGCTCTCTACTTTTTAAGCTTTTGGAAGGAAACAGTCTAGCGCATTTTCCTCTGCGCTACTAAGGAACATTACAGGCAGGAACAGGACAAACCAATGACTTTTTGCTGTATCTAATATGAAGGAAAACTACAAATACTGATAACGAAGCCTTGTTTTGACACATCTCTGAGCAATCGCTGTCTGTCTTCTGCAGAGTTTTATAAAACATCTTTTTTTGTCCCTTTCAAGACATATTTGAAGCTGAACTGCTGTATTTCACCCCAACTATTATGTTGAGAACTTTGGGGTCTCACTGTGATCTCCCGTATGCCAGAACTGACAGGCACTGGACTGTGCTGAAACACTTTCCATTAACCCTCTTTCTTTGCTTCTCTAAGGACAGGGGTGCTGGCAGGACAGAGCACAGGGTTCAACAGGGAAGAAGTACATGGTCCTTCCCTGCTCCCACACCTGGATTTTGCCTTCTTCCCTAGTTACCTCTCTGCTCTCTTTGGCTGTGGCCGCACAGGGCACGAGCACCCAGGCATTTTCCTCCCCAGACACATGGCCTGGGAACCGGCCATGCAAAGGATTTGGGCACTTTGCTGGTCCCCTTGGAGGGCCTGCTTTGGCCCTTTCGGAGAAACAACACACATTGTAACTTGATTTATTAAGTAATTGAGCACGGATGTGAACAGACTTCCCAATACAAAGCAAAAATAAAAAATCCCTGAATAAATAGGAAAAATTCTTTGTGCGGTTTGTGATTCTTTTTTCTAAGATTTTCCATTGTTGCTGGCCAATAACTAAACTTTGCTAATAGACTGACCTGCTACAGAGCTATTACAAAACCCTCACACGGGTAGGTCTGCAGCAAGCTCTCCCTTAACGTCATCTGCAGCAGCTGCCAGTCCAGCAGAGGTAGATAGTGCCTGTAAGAGCCAGCAAGAGCCTCTCCAAACGCTCACGCCAGCAGAGCCGAGCTTGCCGTCTTTACCTACAAGGATAAAAATCTGCTTCTCGCCACCACTAGAGCTTACGTCACCGTCATCACGTTAGCGATGGACAACTGCAGCACGGAGAGGTTTTGACAAGAGCCCTGAGCCCTTTGGTTTCAGTATGAGGGTCACGAGCCCACAGCCTCCTCAGGGGGCTGCGCGGCGAGGGCAGGGGAGGCGGCAGGGGGCCCCCCACTCACCTCGTCCCGGTGGGGACGCGCCCGGCAGCAGGACACGCT